ACTTGATGTTTGTTTAGTAAAAAAATTACTGTAGCTGCGGTTTTATAATTTTTATTCTATAGACATCATCTCACGCTCTTGTTTTTTCTTTTTCCCTTTGTTTTTAAACCACTGTGAAGGCCGAATCCTCTTTCTCCTACAATCAAAAACTTGCGGTTGTCTTGTCGGCAAAATTCTTTTGAAAAAAAAATCATATTCCATTGCGTGAGAGGCCGCTAGATATTAAGAAGACTTTTGCTTCTTTATAGCGTTGGAAAAGGGCCCACAATCCGTTGTGATTTTACAATGTAAAATGTACATTTTTGCATTGGTAGAACTATTATTCTGTACAATCAGGTATTCTACAAATAATCATCAAGAATATAATAATAATTTCTGTTTTATGTACGTTTATTTTACAAAATACGTAATCAGAAGGTTTTCCTCCGCGTGAGCTGAGCACATATAGCTGTACACGTGAACATCGTGTGTCTGTCTTTTATGCATTACTACAACCTTCATTGGGGGATAGGTGTGCTGCTGAATCATCAGTCTCGCTGCATTAGGGACCTCCGCCGTTGGGGGGGGGGGGGGGGGTGTTGCAGGATGAACTTTATTTTTATAGTTTCGCCACTGGCAACTTGATAGTGGTTTTGTAAGCAACAAAGAGATTTTCTACAGTAATGATGTTATACAGTAGCTAAGACATACTGTTGCGTAAACAAGGTAATTAAAAAGTCTAGTGACAATTTTAGCGCAATTTCCTTATGTTATCTAAAAATAGCTCTGTCGTAGCGTAAATCAAGAGCAGGGTTAGTAAAACCATTGGTTAGTTATTACAACGTTTTTTATTAATTTTTTTTTTCAGTATTTTACATGTTTTATTTACAATAGAGTTACGTGACTATAAACCATTGCGCGCCTAGCTACCGAACGTGATGGCGCAGCCATTGAACGTGATGGCGCAGCTATTGAACGCGATGACGCGTGTGGTGTGGTTGGATAAACATGCCTCTAATTCGGTCCAAATTTTAATTAATTCAAAAATTTTTTTTTGACCGAACGAAAGGATATTTTTGAAAACTTTCTTCGGCAATATTTTTCTAAATTATGGCAGGAATCGATTGGTAAATGTTTCAAGTCGCTAAGTTGTCTGGTTGCCGAGATATGGGCCAAAAACTGCATTTTTTTCGAGGTTTTTTGGCTTTTCCGGGAAATTCATGAAGGAATTCCGGATTTTTTTTGGCTCACTATCATCCTCGTAGCTTGTTTAACATATTTGCTTTTGGAACTAGTCCTCGATATTGCTTCGTTGAGGAGGAGATACGACTTAAAGCTGCGGACACACATCCATTCATACATCCAGAAATGACGGGTTAATAAACGCAATTCTCCAGAAACGAAATTGCGCTAAAAAATATACATAAGCTGTAGTGTGAAAGAGAGGCAAACATTCAAACTACTTCCATGACTTATTTCCCTTTTTTTAAATAGTCAAATAGGGGTACTTATAAGCTCCTTCTGATAGATTTGTACTAAACAAATTAAAAAGCAATTATTTCTCTTAATTATTATGTTTTAAAAAGTACTTACTAAGAATAACATTGTATAAAAAGGAAACGTATTTAAAGTGAATAATATAAATAGAAAAAATAAACTTTAAAAATATGCATATCACGAAACACCATTACTTATACAAAGCTTTCATGTTTTAAATTGTTTTGACCGTCTTGAGAGGTTTTATGGTAAAGATAAAACAGATTTTTAAAACAGACTAATGCACTCACTCACATGACATGTTAATGTATTTTGTTTTAATTGAAAAAAAAAACATTTTTATTAAAACCCGATTAAGCCAGAAATGAATACCTTATGTTCGTGTTTTGTCTTTCTCTCTCTCTCTCTCTCTCTCTCTCTCTCTCTCTCTCTCTCTCTCTCTCTCTCTATATATATATATATATATATATATATATATATATATATATATATATATATATATATATATATATATAATATATATATAGGGGGCGGCCCAAATTTTTTTTTTGGGTGGCCATTTTTTTCTAGTTCCGCCACTGATGTGCACAACTAATTAAAAAAGTGGCCAAAAACATAACTGTACAAATGAAAGTGACACTGTGACCGAATGCAGATCTGTGTATACCCAACAGAGTGGTCCCAAGAAAAACTGCACACATAAGTGACCCAGTGACCCAAAGCATAATTACACATAACAGACACAGTGGCCCCAAAGCATAACTGTACACATATCATTGACACACTGGTCATGTATAGCATAACTGTACACACATCATTGACACCAGTGGCCCAAAACTGAAATTTACAGTCATGAAACAAGAAATAGTCAGCTTCACATCATCTTGATAACTCAGCTAGACCATATCTAACTTGACACTTCTATGCTACTATGTAATAATGTTTCTATTATAGTATAATTCTAGCAACTAAATTTTGAAATTTTCTTCACATCAAACACTTGAGTTTTCAAGGGATCTGTATCGCAATACAATATGTTTAAACGCATCAGTATTCTTATAAATAATAGTTGTCTTCTACTTCGCATTCAAGACTTCAACTAAGAACATTAATTTTAATTCCAATCTTCTATTCGTTATTTATCCAATTTAATTAGTTCTAATTTTATAACATTTTGAAGATGATTAAAAAAGCTAGAAAGTAATATTTGTACTATTTTTCTTAATTATTATTTACCCATTGGTCAATGTATATGTTTGTATATATATTTATATATATATATATATATATATATATATATATATATATATATATATATATATATATATATATATATAATGTATATATAATGTATATATAATGTATATATGTATATATATACACTGGGTGTATGTACAGGGGGTGCGTGTGTTAGGGCTGTCATATGTGTAAACATTATTTACTATTTAGGGTTGCCATGGCATGTGTTAGGGCTGTCATATCCCGACATATAGGCCTACCTGTTAACATGTGTTAATGATGTCATATAATGTGTTAACATGTTAAGGCTCTGTGTGGCCATTAGGATGGGGGAAGTGAAGAACATCCTTAAAAAAACGTTATATCCTTTATGGATAACCCTTCCTTTCCCACCCCCACACATAGGTCAGTTAAGATTAAGAAACTTTCATATTTAATAATAATAGATATATAGATCTATATTACAGACTATATTATAGACTATTATAGATCTACTAGACAACAACCTCTTTCTCTCTCTCTCTCTCTCTCTCTCACATAGATCTAGTACATTTTGTTAAATATGAAATTCTTCAATAATCCTGTTTAATTTGGTAATAAACCGTAATGAATATTGAATTAGTAAGAATATACTTTTGAGTGAATGGACGCGAGCGAGTTGACGAGAATCATTCCATCATGTTGTTGACATGGAATAAAAACGTGCTTTTTTAGATTTGGCAAACAAAGCAACCGTAAAAATAATAAAAAAAATAATAATAAACTTAAGCCTAAAACTAAAATTAATTCAGAAATTTTATATTTTTGGAACAATGCTATGAAAGTTGCAAATCCAGAGAACTTGAAAATATTTTTTTAGCGCAATTTCCATTCTGGAGAATTGCGTTTATTGACTCGTCTTTTCTGGGAATGGATGGATGGATGGATGGATGGATGGATATGTGTCCGCAGCTTTAAGTCGTATCTCCTCCTCAACGAAGCAATATCAATGACTAGTTCCAAAAGCAATTATGTTAAGCAAGTTACCAGGATGAACATAGGCCAAAAAAATTCCGGGTTTCTTTCATGGATTTCCCGGAAAAGCCAAAAAAACCTCGAAAAAAATGCAGTTTTTGGCCCATATCTCGGCAACCAGACCACTTAGTGACTTGAAACATTTACCAATCGATTCCTGCCATAATTTAGAACAATATTGCCGAGAAAGTTTTCAAAAATATCCTTTCGTTCGGTCACAAAAATTTTTTTTAATTAACTAAAATTTGGACCGAATTAGTAGGCATTTTTTCCAACCACACCACACGCGTCATCACGTTCAATAGCTGCGCCATCACGTTCAATGGCTGCGTCATCACGTTCAGTAGCTAGGCGCGCAATGGTTTTTAGTCATGTAACTCTATTGTAAATAAAACATGTATTTTAACCAATGGTTTTACTAACCCTGCGCTTGACTTACGCTACGACAGAGCTATTTTTAGATAACATAAGGAAATTGCGCTAAAATTGTCACTAGACTTTTTAATTACCTTGTTTTAGTTTAAGCCGAGTTTAAGGCTACTTTTCAAGATTATTTACTATTTATTTTCATCAAGCCTAGATCTAGATCTAAGTTAAAACCAGATGTTTCACTTTCGTAAGACAAATATTATGAAATATTGATTAGCTGTAGGCCTACAGGAACTTCGTGATCGATAACTAATTAACTATTTGTTTACAAAACTTTGCAGATAAAGTTTTTAAATAAAAATGCAAATTTAAACCACATGACCTAATTTTCCTCTGGTAAGTAGGTCACCAACCAGTGAGCCATAGAATTGGTTGGTGGCCTACTTACCAGCCCTATTTTTAGGCCTACAATAAAATTTATGGCAGCCTATCGAATAGCAGGATGTCATTGTTTATGTCGCCATTACATGTGAAAACCAAATTGTTTTTGCTTTCTTTAAATTTTTTATTTAGTTACCGAAAATATTAAAAACATCAAATACATCCAATCTTTAGTAAAGTCCGAAAAAAACCTGACAGACAGGATTTTATAACTAGATCTAGATCTAGATCTATATTAAATTTATTATTAATTGTAACTAGATCTACGCCGTGCATGATTTTAAATTTTAAATTAATTAATGGGCCTCTCGAATACCTTCTCGCTCGCGTCCATTACTAAAATTATAAATCGCATGCTAGATCGGAATGCTCACTAAATTATTTTCACCATAATAAAATTTAAATTATTTTATAATCCATGAGAGAGATGTTTGGTTTCTTCCGGTTATTATTCTTTTGGTTTGCTAGTGTTTGTTTCCGATATTTAGAGAGACCAGAAGGTCATTGTGTTAAACTACACACTAATAAAACGCCAACAGGCTGTAATAAAGTAAAATAATAAACCAAAATGGTTTTCTTAACACTTAGATGTTTGATGCGTAAAAAAAAAATGGTGCCTTATCCTGAAAGAGAATGGAAACGGAATATGTATAGAAGGCTTGCTTGGGTAAATTGATAAACTTTCAAGTACTTTCATCAGTTCAGTCTTCCACTCTTCTTATTCTTCCATCATTCGCGCTGTGACTTTCTCACTCACACTGAAGTTACTGAACTCAGTGAACTTGAACTGTGTAGACTGTAGTGTAAAGTAGTGTAGAGTAGTGTAGTGTTTAACTACTGTTTAACAGTAGTTTAACTAAGCTCACTCTGTGCCTTACTAACTAAAAGGCATACAATTTTGATTTAGGTGACATTGTAACTGATACTGATTATGTACAAAATGTACATTGTTACTACTAGTGTTACTACAGTCTTAACATACTTAACTAGATCTACTTTACTTTACTAGACTAGGCCTGCCTTGTCTTTAATTTGGTAAAATCACGATATAGCGTCGGAAATTATTGGGTAATGTTCGTTGAGTTTCGGTAACATTCGTTACTGTAAACCATAGTTTATTTGACCGTTGGAAAAAATAAAGTCAAGTGCATTAAATTAATGGGTAATCTGTCGTTTTAGGTACGTAAAATCGCCCGCGACTAGTAATGTGAAAAACAGGTGACTCCTTACATTTTAATAATTATTTCACATTTTGAGGAGGATTTATGTTTTGAAAAATACAAAAATGTTTTCTTGTTTCATTTTATGTACCTGTTTTTAAACAATTGAATTAAAACTTTTCAGTAACAAATGAATACCAGCGATGTTTCCAACAGATGCAACCATGCTCATTTACTATAGCAGCCATCTTGTTAAAGTTTTATTTTTATAGACTTATAGCGCAAGATTCAGGCGGAAGTCACTCTATTTTACAAATGGCTGCTGTTTATATAGCAAATCTTGCTTGCAGACACTGCTGTTTAAAGTTAATTTCTGGCCTATATCGATATATTTAGCCATTGATTTAGGTTTATTATTCATTTCTCTATAATATTTGACACAAACATATGACAATATACTTCTATTAAAGCCTTGACAATGAGGTAACGTTTTCGTACATTAATAGCCGCGGGCGATTTTACGTACCCACACGATAGATTACCAATTAATGTTTTAACTTAATTTAATGTTTAACTGACAAAAATTAGCAACAATTAGGCCTAGTAAATCTAAATATTATTAATAAAGTCGAGTGTAGTAATTAATATTTTTTTTTAAGAAACACAGAAAAAACCTGCAGAAGATTTGCGACAACCAGCTGTAGTTCTATTAGTAAAATAAGACGATTAGATTTACTAAAGTTAAAAGTAGTAAGAAGAACTAGAATAATGTTTAGTAGCAGCAATAATTAGCACATACACGTAAAATAATTAGAAATACAAAATAATTAGCAAAACAGTATTTAAAATGCAACTAAAATCAATCCTTGCACATTTTTAAACATAATGTATTAAAATAATATGGCGGCAAATAAATGATGGTTTACAGAATTTCCGGTGGTTTCCGGAACGGCTCGACAGACTACGCCATGGTTTTACTGTTTTTTACTGCTGTACAGTTCCGGAATAATAACCGACGCTATATTTTTTACCTTTAATTTTACTTTAAACTTTTAATATTTACAGTACCAGTTCAGTGAATTCTGATAAGACTGTTACTACTGTAACTGTACTTCAGTGTAATGCCCTGTAGTTACACTCACACTGCAGTTAGTAGCGTTATGTAGGGCCTAGAGATTCTAGTAACTTTTAGAGTTACTAGCCTTGACCGATTTTGCATACCTAAAATGAAAGATTACCACTTTTAGTTTTAGTAACAGTAACAGGGTAAAACTCCATTTTAGCGTATTTTATTCACCGCTCCACGTTCACCTCCGGTTGAGCGTATTTTATTATAAACACAACCAAAACACAAAAATGTTAGGAATCACTTCTAAATGATTAATTTAATTACTGTAGGCCTAGGCATAAACCATAGTTTATTAGACAGTTGAAATAAAGTCGAGTGTACTAAATTAAAAATAAATGTTTTAACTCATTAATTTTAAGCTTAATAAACATAAGGAAACAAAAATAAACAGCATGAACAAAATTAGCAGCTTTTAGTAGATCTAAAAGGGTGTTAGTAAATTGCGAGACATGAAATGACAAGGCAGTAAACTGTGAGGAGGGCCTGAAAACCGTTTTGACATTTTTGTCTCACATATCACTTCCACCTGATACTTGCGCCGGGTGGTGGTAGGTTGCGTAGATATCTGTGAAAATTTTACCGCACTCTACAGTGATATTTGGTGCAGACTTCAAAGACTTTTCTTTAATATTGTTAAAACATGATTTTTCGGTATCTAGACATACTGATGATTTTTCAACTTCACCGTCTTTTGTGTCGACCTAGAGTAGCCTCTTACTTTGTTCAAAACAGTTCGAAATACAGCCAGCGATAGATCAACTTCCTTTTATGTAAAACACAGAGGCTGACTACACTATCTCAGAAACATGTAAACTCTACTTCATCTGCTCCACTGAACGCATTAGTTTTCCCCAACTTTGAAACAGCTGTGATTGTGCCATTTCTTAGTTGAGTTTATAAATTATATAAATATATTCTCTACACGTAATACATATTATAAGATGAATATGATACATTATAGAATATAGTTTAGTAAGGTTATTATTACTTGAGTACTAAAAGGGGGCTTTAGGTATGGTAGATTGGGAAATTTAACCATTTTATTGACAAAAGAGTTGAATATAATAAAACATTCACTGATGTAGAAGATATGTAGATCAGTGTATTAACATAATTATCTGATTTAACTTTTTATTCTTTAACCCAGATCATTGTTGTGTTTTTTATATAATTCTATGCAAAGCAGATTCTCATAATGTGGAACCTACATTCCTTTCTGAAATTTTATAGAATAATTTTGGGGCAATAGCTCCCCGTGGCCTTTGTTCATAACTGTCACGTCACTTTTACCCCCTCTCAAGAATACCTATTATACATAACTGAGATAAGCAGAGAATATAAAATTGTTTTTATTTCTTAGTCTATGGAAATGTTTTTTTTTCTTTTCAGTTTGCTCGCTCTAGGGTTAGAAACTGCAATAAATTAACAAGGAGATTTGTGAAAAGACATTTGATGCTTACAACAACTGGCAATAATGGAAGGCGTGCTCAAATAAATTACGTAAGACAGAACTCATAGTTTGTGTTGAAGCAGACCCAAGATTTTATTCACAATTAAGTGAAGTGTATTTAGTATGAATCAGTGTTTCTGTTTTGAGATGTGGTAGTATGATTTTTTGTTAATTTCTCTAGAGCTAGTTGAATGTATGATAGTATGCAGGTAACTCACATGTACCTAGAAAGATATTTTACTTCTTAATGTAGGCCTATCATTTTCTGTTTCAACTAATGTATTATGTATTATAGAAGTAAAGTAGGAATAGATATGGATTTACATTTGTGTTTTTTCCCAGCTGTTTTCACATAGAATAGCTGCAGGATGTGCCCAACACGGAGTTCAGTATTCATCTTTCATGAAGTCTATGTATGAGGTAAACTTTCTATTTTATTTTTTATAAATGTTAAATATCTATCTAGTAGTTTGTAGTCTGTAAGAGTTTTTTTAACTCAGTCATTGAAGATATTGTTGTCTCATTGTAGAGGACTGATAGAAAAGCTTATTCTTTTATAATTCGGCATCGCCATGGAAATATTTATGTGGTCTAGTCCAATATATTTATATTTATGTGGTCTAGATTGTAGTTTTAAAATTTGATTTTGGGCCTTGTCCAGATAAGCCCCGCCACTATTGTAAAAAGTGCTCAAATGGAAAGTTAAGTCCTGCTACTTGTGGCCTATTTCTGATGTCTAGACATTTGAATATTTAAATGCACTCCATAAAAATAACTCCTTACCCGCCTCTGGGGTTAGGGCTTTGGTTGGGGTTAATGTACCAAAATACAGTCCTTTCCATGTAAATTATTAATGATATGTCTCAATTTCACCCTCTTTTTATAACTTTTTCTTTTGGTTAGGGGAGATTAACTTTTTGGTGGGGCTTATCTGGACAAAATCTTTGATTTTTGTCTTGATAAATCTAATTTGGTTAATTGAAATGTTAAATTAAATGTTATTTTAATGTTTCAGTCAAATATTGCACTGAATAGAAAAATGTTGGCCCAGTTGTCTGTGTATGAACCAAGAACTTTCCAAGTAAGTGTCAGACCGGTAGCTTAACTATGTGACATACATTACCAAAACAAAAGTCAGTTGTTTGTTTAGGGTTGACGAGGGCAGATGAAGTAAGAGTATGTTTTGTTGACCTGGCATAAAGGTATTGTGTGCCAAGCTGCTTTTATTTGCTCCATTAGAGTCTAGTACATGTCATAGTTAGGGAGGTGTTAGATGTCTGCTGACTTGAAACCAGTGACCAAACTTGAGACTTGCCTGGTTGGGGTAGAGGGCTCTACCACTCCGCCACAAAATTCCAAATTGAAATGACTTACTTGATGCCAAACTTTATAAACAAAAAATAGCATTTGTTGTTGAAGGTTTGGAAACTAGAGCACCTTATAGAAATAATAATTACATTTGACCTGATTATCAAGGGATTATTTCTGTCAGATTATTTTACAGCAATGCAAATACTTCCATCTTAATAATATATGATGTAATTTAAGGTTTAGTGATATTAATATACATCTGCCCATCAACCCTCTCAGTCTTTTTGGGAGACATATTGCTAAATTTTGGATTCTTTACAAAGTATAACAAATCAGAGCTGATTAATTAACATTCAATCATTAATTTTAGTTTTATACCACGCGCTTGCTAGTCCAAGAGTCGCTAGTTTGAAGCTCTGGCTTCCAATGGCAGGTAGTCCCCAGACCCAACTGTCCCTCATGTCTAAACCAGGTGTTGCAATTCACTGGGGTAGTAAGCAAAAGTCTGGCAGAAACTAATGCGTCTAGCAGCTGGTAATCATGGGTGATTGACATGCTCAATTCTTAACCCTATTCTAGTCTGCCGCGGCAACAGCTAGTGCCTGTATGAGATATAGAGTTCTGTGTACTTAGGGCATAACAAATTACTAGTTTGATGTATTGTACAGCTTGAAAAAGAAAACAGATGCCAAATAGATATCAGTCAATTTATTTCCTGGATTTGATTACATTTTAGAACTCACATGGCCCAGCTAGTTGATTGAAATGACTTATAGAGAAGGGGGGGGTCACACAATTTTAAGGTCAATGAAGTTGATATACTCTACTTTATCTGCCAAAATTTGAAGTGGTCTTTTGCTTATACATTTGATGTAATAAATCTGTTATGTCTAGAGTTTGTGTATGTGATAGAGTGTGTGTGTGTTTACTTTGCCAGAGCCTGTGTGATGTATTGTGTGATATAGTGTGAGTGTTTACATTGCCAGCGTTTGAGTGATGTATTATGTGAGATATAATGTGTGTTTATATTGCCAGAGCCTGTGATGTATTATATGTGATGTATTGAGTGTGTTTACATTCCCAGAGCCTGTGTGATGTATTGTGTGTTTACATTCCCAGAGCCTGTGTGAGTATGTGAAAGTGAAACACACTGAACAAGTCCAGCAGGGCCTGGCCGCCAGCCTCACCCCTACACCTAGTGGAGTCATCACAAGAGATATGATTGGAAAAGTTTATAAATAGTGTCTGACATCATTTTGTTTTCCACATTAAATAGTTTTTCTTACAGCACGATGGTGTGATCAAGTTCTTTATGTTTCATGAATGGAGAGTTTGGTTCTGGATTAGTTTTTTTAATTCTCATGTTTAACCTTAAGTGGGTTTTTTTTTTATCAGTATCAAATCTAAAGTACATAGACGAAGTGTAGGATATTGTTTTTTTTTAATTTAATGATTTACCACTGGTTTTATTTTAAATCATAACCACAGGTTTAAAAATATATCTTGAAAATAGCATTCATTAACATTTAAAATAGTTTAATGGAAGTCCTTCTTTCTTAGACAGAGTAGGGTAATATAACCATGGTTTAGAAACTATTTGAGGGGATAGCCTTCAATACTGGGAGTTGTAGTCCGGTAGATGAACTCACCATTTATTACTAGTATTAGATTCATTGTGCTCGTAATAAGCATTTGGAATACAAACTAAATTTCTCAATGTTAGTAATTAAAATGTTAAGATTAAAAGAGATGTGGGGCTATCTTTGATGTCTATAGGTTACAGGTAATGAAATGTTTACCAATTGGATGATTACACCAGAAGTGAAAAGAAAGCTGTTTTTCTTTTGAGACCACAGTGACTGTTGTAATGTTAGCTGGTTTTTTTATTGGTTACTATAGAAAGTATGAAATGGTAGCTGAGTCTCTATTGGTTAACTACAGCTGGAGTATAGTTTGAAAAACAGAACATTTAAATGTTAAACTCTGAGTAACAAAATCAATGTGTCAAAAATTTAGAAAAGCCTTTTTTATTCACTTCAAATAGTCTTGATTCTACATTCCCTTGAACAATAACTCTAAGCATCAGGAAGACTAGGATCAAATGCAACTTGGACTTTGTTGATACCTTCCAATATGTTGTCATTATCTGCATGGAATCGGTAAAATGTTTTTCTTTAAGGCAAGAAATTCTAGTAAAGCACTGAGAAAATAACCACAATTCGAATGAAACATGATAAATTAAATACGCCAAAAAATATTTTTAAAATGACTAAGTACAGTATAAACACATTTTTTAACTTAATATTGTTTACTGTTTTAAAACGTAAAAAGGTTGTGATTTAATAATGTAATATTTAATTTGAATAAACGTTTCCAATACAGTTTACTATGCTGCCTACTTTGGCTTCTGTTATCTTACCAATTCTGGGCACAGAATCTTCTAAAACCTGGCCATTTGCTGCCGTGAGCCGAACTCTGAACGGGCCATCTGGCATAGCTCCTCCTCCTGACAGGATCCAGTATCCATCTGGGCTGTGAGTGGGCGTCACCCAGCCGCCATTTTTCTGGATCTCCACGCCAGTAATGGGTATTCTAGCAACAAAATTTGTGGTCAGATACCAATAGATTTTTGATGTTTTAACACCATACATTATTTAAAACGCTTTAGCTCTACTTAAAGTTCTATCAGAGAAGCAGGGACCAGGCATCTTATCAGGGGGGCTCTGCCGAAATAATTCTACCCTTTCCCCCCACCCCCCGAACGAAATGGAATTTATATATAGACTTTTAACAGTGCCCCCCCCCCCCCCCCCATGAAAAATTAAAGTGCATCCCCCCCCCATGAAAAATTAAAGTGCCCCCCCCCCCCCCCCCGGAGAAAAGTCTGGAAGAAACACTGGCAGGGACGTCTTGGTGCACGGGAAAATACACCGCCCTTGACGGACATTGTAGAAGAACCAGGTTAAGGGCCTAGGCTCGACATAAGAGAACTAAGCAAAGCTCTATTTAATGAAAAACATAGTTTCTGTTGCGTAGCAAGTCATTTTCAGCACAGTATGGTATAGCCTAGATACCCGTTAGTAGTAGTAAAGGTGAAGATGCGGCTTCAATAATTTTACCAAAAGAATGAAGATATGAACTGTAACTTATACTTATAGGCGATTTGATGACAAGTGATATTTCCTTAAAGTGCAACTTCCAAGAATCACGGACTAGATGATGTAATTGAGATTATGATCTGTCACATACTGTATTATTGGGTATGTTTATTATATTGTGTTTTACATGAAGTTGCATGAATGTAGAGTACCTGGCTAACGGAAGGACTGTCTGAGCGACTCGTGATGTATTTTTCCATGCTTTTGTGAGATCGTTCATTGACGTAAGGGGAGAGACATGATCTAAAGTGCAGGCTACCCTAACTATTTACACCGTGTAGAACTATCTATAATGTACCTGGCGTTCCTAATCTGCAGCTTGATGTACCACGGGTTACTGCCCTGGAAAGCGTACTGGATGCTAGTTGACCCTACTGGACACTGAACAGCTTGAATATCAATGTCCCAGCGGCCGTCTCCGTTCAGTGCGAAGTCGACGTCGCCTGCAAATATAATCAGAGGTTTGTTCCCGTGGTCGGGTTGGTAACGTTGGACGTGCTGCCTCGACCCACCCCTCAAGAGATGCCTGAAAGAAACGCTCATGGGTACGGGTTGTGAGTTTTCAGAGAACCTAACTCAATAGCCATAGGACAAATTCACAGAGCATATGAACTCTATTTGATTTTGCACTTATTTTTTTAAATTTATTTACACGTGAGTGAAGCTGTAGGTTAAATCTGTTGTAGGATTTACGAGAACAGGGAATTATCCGCCCCCCCCCCCCCACCTCTGTAAACTACCCCCCCCCCCCCCCCCCCACCCAGTAGGACATTCCCCCTTGACATATCTAGGTACATACATCTAGGGTTAGGGTTAGTGTTATGGTCTTAGTGTTAGGGTCAGGGCTAGGATGTGGTCAAGGTTAGGCTTCAACCAATGTATAGCGTTGGTTTGGTTCTGTGTTAAGTTTTAGGCTGAGGTGAATGCTTAGGTTTTGGACTTTTTCTTACGGTTAGGATTAATGTAATATATAGGTATAGAATTTGAGTTAGAGTTAGGATTCTAACTTGGGGGGAGGGCGGTAATTACTCCGAGGGGTAAAAACGGGGAGGAAATGTTCAGGGGGGGGGGTAATTGACGGGGGGGATATGTCCTGCAGCCGGGAATTACACCGCTACTTGGCTAACTTGGGCATAAAAAACAAACCACTGACGTCTGGGAAAAAGGTTAAACCTAGGCTATTGTAGTTGACGAAAACTTGGGCTAAAGAACTCAAAAGGAATTTAAACCTTTTGCTTTTGACTAAGAACAATTACGATCGCCATCGATTGAGTTTCACAAAAAGGCTTTCGAAGTTACCGATTTATAACTAGAAAGCAATGACTATTGTGTTTAATGTGAGTTTGTGTCGTGACAAAAAAGGCTTTCGAAGTAACCAATTTATAAATAGAAAGCAATGACCTGTGTGTTTAAAATAATGTGAGTTTGTGCCGTGACTGACCTTCATGACAGACTGGACACAGATCTTTGACGTAGACAATATGGACACCTGTTATAGGATCTGAGCCATGCCCAGTCCCTGAACCTGTCACCTGCAACATTGGTAGAGTTATCTTTTAGCGTTGTTTACAGTCAGATATGGTGATAGTCAGTGATAGAAATATCTTTTAGTGTTGTTTACAGTAAGATATAGTGATAGTCAGTGATAGAAATATCTTTTAGCGTTGTTTACAATAAGATATAGTGATAGAAATATCTTTAGCGTTGTTTACAGTAAGATATAATATAGTGATAGTCAGTGAAAGAAATATCTTTTAGCGTTGTTTACAGTAAGATATAGTGGTAGTCAGTGATAGAAATATCTTTTATCGTTGTTTACAGTCAGATATAGTGGTAGTCAGTGATAGAAATATCTTTTATCGTTGTTTACAGTCAGATATAGTGGTAGTCAGTGATAGAAATATATTTTAGCGTTGTTTACAGTCAGATATAGTGGTAGTCAGTGATAGAAATATATTTTAGCGTTGTTTACAGTAAGGTATAGTGATAGTCAGTGATAGAAATATCTTTTAACGTTGTTTACAGTCAGATATAGTGATAGTCAGAGATAGAAATATCTTTTAGCGTTGTTTACAGTAAGATATAGTGATAGTCAGTGATGGAAATATATTTTAGCGTTGTTTACAGTAAGATATAGTGATAGTCAGTGATAGAAATATCTTTTAGCGTTGTTTACAGTCAGATGTGGTGATAGAAATATCTTTTATCTTTGTTTACAGTCAGATATAGTGGTAGTCAGTGATAGAAATATATTTTAGCGTTGTTTACAGTAAGATATAGTGATAGTCAGTGATAGAAATATCTTTTAACGTTGTTTACAGTCAGATATAGTGATAGTCAGAGATAGAAATATCTTTTAGCGTTGTTTACAGTAAGATATAGTGATAGTCAGTGATGGAAATATATTTTAGCGTTGTTTACAGTAAGATATAGTGATAGTCAGTGATAGAAATATCTTTTAGCGTTGTTTACAGTCAGATGTGGTGATAGAAATATCTTTTATCTTTGTTTACAGTCAGATATAGTGATAGTCAGTGATAGAAATATCTTTTAGCGTTGTTTACAGTCAGATGTGGTGATAGAAATATCTTTTATCTTTGTTTATAGATATGGTGATACAAACATCTTTTAAAGTTTTTTACAGTCGGATATAGTGATAGAATCATCTTTTATCGTTGTTTACAGTCAGATGTGGTGATACGTCTTCTTTGCTTTTACAGCCAAACATATGGTGCTAGAAACAACTTTTAAAGTTGTTAACTGTCAAATATAGGGATAGACATATTTTTATCGTTGTTTACAATCAGCTTTGGAGCTAGAAATATATTTTGTCTTTACATTCATCTACGGTGATTGAAACATATTTTGTCCTTGTTTACATAGTAGACATTGTGATAGAAACATCTGTTATCTTTGTCTCTAGATAGAAGCAACATTTTGTTGTCTACAGTCAAACATAAAAGTTCGATATATAAAATATGTATATTATACCATACGTATAGCACCACTTAAGGATTTCAACATGATCTGTCCTTTTTGAAACAGAACAGAGCAGTGTTTCTTCCAGACTTTTTTCCCCGGGGGGGGGGGGGGGGGGCACTTGAAATTTTCGGGGGGGGGGAGGGGTAAAATGTCCGGGGGGGGGCCGGACACTGTTAAAAGTATTTATTTTCTATATAAATTCCATTTCGTTCGTGGGGGTAGACTTTCTTTGGAGCCCCCCCCCCCCCCACCCCCCGAAGAGATACCTGGGAAGAAACTCTGGAACAAAGCAACACAGCAGGGCTTTACCTTGATGCACATGCCACACACAAGTGAGTTCAGGTACTGGGGTCTGTTCAACGCCACCAAGGCGGTGATCTTTGAGTTGGTGGCCGCTGGGGGGAGGGGCGCGGCTATTTGACACGAGCCTTCGACTATGTCGCCATAATACGTACCCTGGTATGAAATATAAAAAAAAACATTACTTATAATTCATTTAGAAAATGAGTGACTAGGAAATCATAGAGTCTATATAGCAGCTGGGCTGCCACACTATACACTTGAATGCTGAGGTCATTTAGACAGTTAAACTCTACTTCACCAGCCCAGTGTGTCTTGGGCACGAAACGGACAAGATGATTATGATAAACACAAGTATGTTATACTTAAAATAGAAATGAAAAAAAACAACGAAGGTGCTATTTTGTGTTTACAAATTAGCATTTTTTTTTTTGCATATTTAATCTGCTTTATGAAGGGTGCGCTCAGGGACATTTTACTGACATGAACCCGGATTCGAACTCGAGACTTTCCATTTAGTAGTCTAGCTCTCTACCGTTAGGTCACGCCGCGGACAACTACCTGCACTTAAATAATTAAATACTGTATGTTTGAGAATCTAAAAGAAAATGTTTGTATGGCTGGCTTCAAGCGACAACCCTTCATCTAGTTTCATCCACCACGACTCAGCCTACGATTATTTTAACCTTCCACAAGTATGTGAGTTTGTGAAGTGCTTATTGGTGAACTGGCTAGACATGCTGCTGCTAACTCTAAGGGCCTTTTATGTTTTGTTTTTTGGCAGACATTTAAAACATGTGACCACTGCTATTTTGTTTAGTTACTTACATCACCTTTGTAAGATTTAGTGAACAGGTCTAGGACTGCCTGGTTTCTGACTCCAGACTGTGCTGAAATAAACAATACAAACAACAGAGATTAACAATCTCCAGAGATGCCGTTTAGAGTAAATTTTAGCAGCATTCTCACTCAATGACACTTTTGAAAAATTAATTAAAGAGATAAAGTGAACACTTTTTAGCTAAACTTCGTTCATAGATAGCAACACACACATATATATATATATATATATATATATATATATATATATATATACATATATATATACATATATACATATATACATATATATATATACATATTTATATATGTATATATGTTTATGTATATATGTATGTATATGTGTGCATATGCATATATATATATATATATATATATATATATATATATATATATATATATATATATATATATATATATATATATATATGTCTATACGCATATATATCTGTATTTATGTAGCCCACACAATTACAAAAATAACCAATGCATATATTCTATAAGTTGTAAATAGCGCCACTTACCAAAAGTAAAAGACCATATGAATTGAAGACATATCAAACACCATAACGTTGCCATTCTGAACGTGTTACATAAAATCTGATATTGGAACCACTTCCAACTTTTATACATGTGAATCGGCATGTGAGTGGCAGTTCACAGCAGTTTAAAAATGTCCCATGTTACAGTTGACGTTTGGTGCTTATCTGTTGTTGACAGATACAGATTCATTGCTCTACTGAGGTCATGGTGATTGTATCCTAATGTGGAATCCAGACAGTTATGATTGTTTTTAGTATGGTTAGATGTCTGACGGTCTAGGTTTCAAGAAGTTGGATTATTTAGACAGTTATGGTTTTACGCAACACTCCAAGTCGTCTGTCATTGTATCCAGTAAAGCATATAGCCTGTCCTGATATTTTACATGTTCGTAAGACGTACATGATCACACTCAACATAATTTTTCTGTATAAGATTACGTACATGGGTTCACGTTCGAATATCTTATGTAGTTAATTTAAAAACGTTTATACCTAATAGCGGATAAAGTTAATAAACATAAAGCTTCATTGTCACACGCGTTAAAAACAGTCTAGATCTACCTTTTAACAAATTTGCTTCATTCTTTTGTAATAGGCGACGTTAAAGATAGTTAGCCTATCGAACTAAACTGTCAGATCTAGTATAAATTATCGCGACATCATTTCCCTGCATATCAACCTTCCCCCCCCCCTCCAATATGAGTTGCGTACTATCTGAGCTGAGTGAACTCAGAGACAACTAACGTTACCCACCCAGGCTGAGAGATTAACATAAGACTTATGTGGTTAGCAGTTGTGCTTCAAATTCACATTTTTTAAACTGTCATGCAATTAAGTGTATTACGTGCTTTCAAGAGAACGAGTCCTGATAAAAAAACTGAAAGATTATTTTATTAATGTACGTTTATTTCATATATATATATATATATATATATATATATATATATATATATATATATATATATATATATATATGTGTGTGTATATGTATATATATATACATATACACACATATATATATATGTGTATATATATATGTATATATATATATATATATATATATATATATATATATATATATATATATATATATATATATATATATATCGAGCGTTTTAAATACATTTTGATACACGGTGGGTTAACATTCTGATGTACCACGTGACTTTCTTGTGACGATCACGTGATGCTCTATGCGTTGGGTAGACTAGCGTCCAGCGCCACTTGTACTCTGTGTACACCTTCCAAAATGTGGGAGTTATCTGTGTAAGACAAAATAGGCTGAGGTTAAACGTCTTTTTTTTTTCTAGCTCAAATGGAACTAATCACTTGAAAAACGTGTAATTTGCGACTAATCACATCTAAAACATTGTATTGCTGATAATTCTTGTATCGATTTTAGAATCGAAAAAATAATTCTTGACATAACAAATATCTCTAGGCTCAATGTAAACACAATGAGTCAACAGAACTAGTGGACAAGTAATCTAAAGAACTATATAGCTTATGGTAGACATAACCAATCAATATAATAGAAATAGTGGACAAGTGATCTAAAGATATATATAGCTATCGTAAACACAACCAATTAATAGAAAAAAACTAGTGGCCAAGTGATCTAAAGAACTATATACCTTATGGTAGACACAACCAATCAATTGAATAGAACTAGTGGACAAGTAATCTAAAGATCTAAATAGCTAATGGTAAACACAACCAATCAATAGAATAGAACTAGTGGACAAGTAATCTAAAGAACTATATAGCTAATGGGAAACACAAATAAAGATTATTTAGGTATAATTAGTTTTCAACTTGTATATCTCTACTAGTAATGGTAAACATAACCCACACATAAAAAAAAAGAAAAGAAAAACTAAACCCACCAATCCTAGGCACAGCATCATTGAGAACTTGACCATTAGCCGCTGTCAGACGAATATCAAACTGACCACTGGGCATAGCATGACCGTCGTTCAGCAACCAGTAGCCGTCAGAACTGTGGGTCATGGTGACCCAGGCATTGGATCGATGAACTTGTACCCCAGTTATGGGAATTCTGGAACAGGGGGAAATATTTTAACAGTAAACATAGATAAATATTTTTAAGCCTGAACATAAATCAATATGTTAACCATAAACATAGATAAATATTTTAACTAAACAGAGACCAATATTTTAAACTCGAAACAGAAACCATCAACAGAAATAAATGTTTTAACTATAAAAAGATAGCAAGGTTTTAACGATAAACAGAGATTACTGTAAGACTAAATAGAGAAAAATGTTTGAACTCTAAGAACAAAAAATGTTTTTCCATAAACCGAGGTAACACTTTAAACTTTAACATAGTTAAATATTTGAAACATAAATAAAAAGCCATATTTTTCCCAAAACAGAGACACATACTTTAACCGTTAACAGATAAATATATTTTAAGCCTAAACAAACCATCATATTTAAGAACAAAGATAAATAATTATGTTACCCTACAGATAACCATTTTACACCAAAAATAAATGTTGTGAAGCTATTCAGATCATTAAGAATACCTGGCGTTTCTGATTTGCAGTTTAAGATAGTACGGGTTGCTTCCCTGGAAGGCGTACTGTATTGTAGAGGTACCCACAGGACACTGGACGGCACGAATGGAGATTCCCCACCTCCCGTCCCCATTCAGGGCAAAGTCGACATCACCTTTATTAAACACTAGCGTACCCGTCCCCGCGCGTTGCCGCGGGAATAGAAGATAGTCCGACGAAATATATAAGAAGGGATTTCATCCATGCGTTACCAATCCTATACTCTTAGACTCGTGACCTTATTTTCTAAAAGTTAGTTATTTAAATGTAAACAATGCCTGCGCTTGGATCATAAATATCGGGACACGGGTTTACCTACACTACCGCGTGAAAACCTTATATGTACATTAATCACTCACCAAAATAATGAGGTAGAACACACTTCGGTGACCACCCATGTGTCAGGGACGTAGAGAGGCGCTCTCAGGAGCCCCCCCCCCCCCTCCGATTACACTATCGCATAGGCGCAGCGTACGGCCCCTGGCTCCTTAAAACTAACAGGCGCCATCGTGCTCATAGGATAACCCAGCGTGCAAAATAGCATCATGTAAACAATGATGCACATTTCGTCATTCGCTGAAGTGACACAAATATACATGATTTTTTTTTCTTTAACACGTAAAAATTATTTGATATGTTTTAAACGTGCGGCGTCAATTCGGCCAATGACGAAACGGCCCCGTCAAAACGACCCCGACAAAACGACCCCGTCAAAACGACCCCGTCAAATCGGCCCCGTCAAAAGGGCCAGCGACATATGGACCCCGTCATATAGGCTCCCGACAAATAGGCTCCCGTCATTTAGGCTACCGACAAATAGGCTCCCGTTATATAGGCTCCCGACAAAAGGGCTCCAGTCAATAAGGCTCCTGACAAATAGGCTCCCGTCATTTTGGCTCCCGACATATAGTCTCCCGTCATTTAGTTTTTTCCACAAAACGGCCCCCGTCATTACGACTCCCGACAAATAGGCTCCCGCCATTTAGTTTCTCCACAAAACGGCCCCCGTCATTACGACTCCCGACAAATAGGCTAGCGTCATTTTGGCTCCCGACAAAAAGGCTCCTGTCAATTTGGCTCCAGACAAAAGGACCACTGACACAGTGGCGTAGCTACCGTAAAGCTAGCGTAAGCAAGGCATGGGGGCCCAAGGCACATAGGGGCCCTTTTCCCTCATAAAAAATTAAAACTTTTACAATGGAATTTTAATATTTGTTACATATAAATAATTTTAAAAAAGAAAAAGGTTAAAAGTTCCAAAAAGCCCCCCCCCCCCCCCCACCGTTTCGGCAGTGGGATTCAGTGTTCGTATTTGTGGGTCAAACAGAGCCCGATCGTTATAATAACACTACAGGCTATATCACTTTGTTGTGCATGACATTGAGAGAATCAGCCTATAAATAAACTTTTTAGCAGTAGTAGGCAAGCATAATAATATAGTATAAATACAAAATCAGGACATATAAAATACAAAATGTTGCCTTCAGAATATTTATATATTAAAAAATATCCATCGTAAGTAGAAGTTGATCTCTTCGTTTAACTCCTCTGTAGCCTAACGCAGAGGCGTAGCGAAGGCGAGGCGGGGGGTGCGGACCGCAACGGGTGACACCATTTAGGGGGGGGGGGTGACACCAAAGGCAAAAAATTGTAAAAATTATAGAATGAAATGCCATTTTCCAGATCCATTAGTTAAAGTTAAATAGTCTTCTAAGTACAAATCAAAAATTATATCAAGAGGGGGGGGGGGGTGTGACACCACGACGTAAACGTAAACTATAAAGAAAACAATGCTACATCCAACTGTATTATAAACAGACTGTAGATAAACATCGTTACTATTAAGTCAGCAGTGATTAAAGCTTAAACACGTACGTGTACCAGTATGTGGCATATATATAAATTTTAGGCCTATGTAGGCCGACACACACACGCACACACACACACATATATATATATATATATATATATATATATATATATATATATATATATATATATATATATATACTTTGTTTCCTGGGAGGGGGTGACAATACGAAGTGCCGCACCGGGTGAGACCAGACCTAGCGACGCCACTGGCCTAACGGCTGACGAAGGGGCCCACTGATAATTTTTGCATAGGGGCCCAAAAATCCTAGCTACGCCACTGCACTGACAATACCGTTTCTGTAGAGACTAAGTCTCCCGGCAAAGCGGTCTCATTGAATATGACATCTGCCAGTGGGACCCCTTCATCAATATTCTTTAGAGTTAGCTTATCCAACACTCTTATGTAATACAACGTATGCATCTCTTGTTCGGCAGGCCTTATTTTATATTAGTTTATCTATTATAAAATATAGTATGTTTTAATTTAAGGGTCATCTATCTATAACATCCATAATTGAGTTGGTTATAGGCTGTTCCAACTCATTGTGTGGGGAGAAGGGTCCACGCTATACCTTCCTAACTGCAATATGCTTGTACAGGGGCGTAGCGAGGGGTGGGGGGGGGGCGGGGGGTGCGGACCGCACCGGGTGACACCATTTAGGGGGGTGACACCAAGGCAAAAAATAGCAATATATATAGAGAAAAATTTGAGGGGGTGGGGGTGCAAATCGAAAACTTGAAAGTTTGTCCCCGGAAAGGGTCGCAACGCCTCTGGGGGGGGGGGGGGGTGACACCATTAAGTGCCGCACCGGGTGACACCCAACCTCGCTACGCCACTGTGCTTGTAGGTTATCAAAACAAAATGCTGTTATCATGTTAACATCATGTATATCATACATTTACACTTCTGTGCTCGCTTTTAAGCAACAGATCTTTTCTGTTGTAAATTAAACATTATCAAAACTTTAGAATTGGTGGAATTTAGCTGTTAAGGGCTCGACTTGTTTGTGAATTAATGTTGGTTCATGAAAAAATAATTTCATTCGGGCATTAAAAAGAGGTTATGGTGGTATTGGAGGTAGGACACAATGGTTACTTTTATGCCAATAGTGGTCATATCATTCATTTTTCTGGAGCCAATATGTCGGGAGTCATTTTGTCAAAAGCCAATATGTCGGGAGCCCAATTGCCGGGAGCCAATATGTCGGGAGCCCATTTGTCGGTAGCCAAAATGTCGTGAGCCCATTTGCCGGGAGCCCATTTGTCCTGAGCCCTTATGTCGGGAGCCAATATGTCGGGAGCCGCTTTGTCGGGAGCCAATATGTCCTGAGCCTATTTGTCAGGGGTTAATATGTCGGAAGTCCATTTGTCGGGAGCCTAAATATCGGGAGCCCATTTGTCGGGAGCCTATATGTCGCAAGTCAATATGACGGGAGCCCATTTGACGGGAGCCAATAAGTCGGGGCCCTTTTGACGGGGCTATTTTGACGGGGTCGGTTTGTCGGGAGTCGATTTGACGGGGTCATATTAACGGGGCCGTTTTGACGGGGCCGATTTGTCCCGGGCCGTTTTGACAGGGCACCGTTTTAAACATCAGTGTGACTGATGCAATATGATAGCGTTACTAATGGTCTATTATTAGATGCTCGATCTCAATTTCTGACTGGATCGTCTAATAATAGATGCTTATTGCATCATTCGCAAAGTGACGAAACTCTACAGTAGGCTCCTCATATTCAAAAAGTTATTTTTTCATCTTTCGCAAGGTGACGAAACTGTACAGAAGAATTTCCTCGCGTTACAAAGTTATTTTTAGAAGCCTGTTGTAGCTTTACCACTGAATATAGTAGTACCCCTTACTCGCTATGCAGGACGCTCGATTAACGGATGCCGAGTGCCAACATAGTCGCTCTAAATCTTTGGGCGCCAAACTGCGTATTGACGAAAATTATACCCTACATGGTGCCGCCCATAAGAATCTTTAGTTTTCTTTTTCGCAGAAATATTCTCGGGAGTATCTACTCCTTAAAGTTTCATGGCACTCGGATGAACCGCATCCGAGTTTTATTTTTTATATACCGTGTATAGAGAAAAATATCGCTCTCCCCTGGGGCGCCGCCCTTGCAATATTAAAAAAGTTTTTTTTTTTTTTTTTTTGCAGAACCCTACCATTGAGTGATCTAATCATCTCCCCAAAGTTTCATGGCACACGGATGAACGGTGTGAAACCGAAATAGACTTATATTATTATAAACCGTATATAGAGAAAAATCGCACCCTCCCGTGGCGCCGCCCTTACGAAATTAAAACAGGAGTTTTTTTTACAGAAACCTTCCCTGGAGTGTTCTAATCAACTCCCCAAAGTTTGATGGCGATCGGATGAACGCCGTGAAACCGCAATCGACGTTTATTTTTATATACCATACATAGAGAAAATCGCACCTTCCTGTGGCGCCGCCCTTGCAAAATTAAAAATGATTTTTGACGGAACCCTTCCCGGAGTGTTCTAATCAAGTCCCCAAAGTCTCATGGCTATCGTATGAACGATGCCAAACCAAAATCGACTTTTATTTTAAATACCGTATATAGAGAAAAATCGCACCATCCCGTGGCGCCGCCCTTGCGAAATTAAAAATTATTTGTTTACAGAACCCTTCCCTAGAGTGTTATAATTAACTCCCCAAAGTCTCATGGCTATCGGATTAAGGATGTCAAACCAAAATTGACTTTTATTTTTTATATACCGTATAAAAAGAGAAAAATCGCACACTCCCGTGGCGCCGCCCTTGCGAAATTAAAAATTATTTGTTTACAGAACCCTTCCCTAGAGTGTTATAATTAACTCCCCAAAGTTTCATGGCTATCGGATGAACCCCGTGAAATCGCAATCGAGTTTTATTTTTATATATCGTACATATAGAAAAATGGCACCCTCCCGTGGCGCCGCCCTTGCGAAATTAAAAATGATTTTTTTTACAGAACCCTTTCCTATAATTTTATAATGAACTCCCCAAAGTTTCATGCCTATCGGATGAACGGTGTCACTGCAATTCACTTTTATTATTTTTATATACCGTATATAGAGAAAAATCGGACCCTCCCGTGGCGCCGCCCTTGCGAAATTAAAAATGATTTTTTAAAAAACCTTTCCCTAGAGTGGTATAATGAACTCCCCAAAGTCTCATGGCTATGGGATGAACGATGCCAAACCAAAAATCGACTTTTATTTTTATATACCGTATATGGAAAAAAACAAATCGCGCCCTGTCGGGGCGCCACCCCTGCGAATTTGAAATTTTTTTTTTCGCAGAAACCTCCCCAGGAATATTCTCAACAACTTCCCAAAGTTTTACGGTGATGTGATGAGAGGTGTAGTAATGCATAAAGGACAAACAAACAAATAAACAAACAAACATACATTGCTTTTTATATATATAGACGACTCATTTGTTAATTTTTTAAAAGAAAACTGCAAACTGAAATCACACATTTAAAATGCTGTGTGCGTAATCAATAGTCGGTCACTGCGTTCCTCTGCACCTTAGTTTTCAGATAATAAAAATACATCTAGTGGGCTTAGATAGCTAAAGCATCGATGGTTTTTTTTTTATAATAAGAACATTGGTACAAACTGGCAATATTTGATGCCGTATTTAAAACGAAAAATAAATTAAAAATAATAAAATAATACACGGACCTTATATAACAATTGTCAATAAACAAATTATGTCGAAATGTGTGTGTGCTTGTGTGTGTGAGCTTGTGTGTAGTAATGTATATCTGTCCCTGTATGTAACAAAAAGAAAGAGAGAACACACGTATATCCTATATCTGGGATCAGAGTTTCTTCCAGGCATCTCTTCGGCAGAGCTCCCCCCCCCCCCCCGAAGAAAGTCTACCGCCCCCCCTCCCCGAAAATGTCAAGTCCCCCCCCCCCCCCCCCCCCCCCTCCCGGAGAAAAAAGTCTGAAAGAAACACTGTCGGGGATTGTTTTTAAAAGTAAATAGTAAATTAATCCAGCAAAAATAAAAAATGTTAACTTTGACCTCGCACAATTATTTCTTTCTGGCTGTTAAAATTAGTGTTTTATGACACCCATTTTGTATTTACATGGTATAGGCTTACCTAAGACTACTTTGTTAACTTACCTTCTTAGCGCATGTTTACTGGAATTATCTTAGCATAATTTGTAAAATTAGCGATGTGGCACTAGTTTAAGGTAGACTGGATATTTTTTTCTCATAGTAGTTTGTAAATTAGCGTTATGCACTAGTTTAAAGTATACCGGATTTGTCCAAGAGTAATTTGTAAACTTAGCTTTATGGCACAAGTTTACTGGATTTGTCTAAAGTATTTGGTTTACTTACCTTCATGACACTCAGGGCACAAGTCCTTGACAAACACAATGTGCTCGCCTCTAATGGGGTTGGCACCACTACCCTGGCCTGTCCCCGTCACCTGTACACACATGTGTTAGTACACGAGTGTGTTAGTGTACGAACGTGTTAGTGTACAAGTGTGTTAGTGTAAGAATGTGTTAGTGTACGAGTGTGTTAGTACACGAGTGTGATAGTGAATAGTTAGTGCACAAGTAGTGTGTTTAGTGTACTAATGTGTTTAGTGTACGACTGTGTTGGTGTATGAGTGTGTTAATGTGCGAGCGTATTTAATGTACGAATGTGTTTAGTGTACGAGTGTGTTAGTGTACGAGTGTGTTAGTGTACGAGTGTGTTAGTGTACGAGTGTGCTAGTGTACTAGTGTGTTAGAATACGAGTGTGTTAGTGAATAGTTAGTCCACGAGTGTGTTAGTACACGAGTGTGTTAGTGTATAGTTAGTACACGAGTGTGTTAGTACACGAGTGTGTTAGTGTATAGTTAGTACACGAGTGTGTTAATACACGAGTGTGTTAGTGTATAGTTTGTCCACGAGTGTGTTATTGTACGAGTTTGTTAGTGTATGAGTGTGTTAATGTACAAGTGTGTTAGTGGGACAGCGTGGTCGGGCGAGAGAGTGGATAATTGACATCACCACAAGTTCGAAACCTGGGCAAACTACTGCTGGCTCGTAGTTTGTTCTTGGATAGACAAAGACGGTGGAGCTAATCCAGAAAGGAAAGCAGTAGGGCCACAACACGCTGAGACGCAATACTAAATAATGTTAGAGTATATAACCTTAAATAATGGAATTAAGAACTTTAGGTGAAGTAGAAATCACCTGTTTCTTCTGTCTAGACATACTTAGGGATGTTATGTTACGTAACTCTTCCCAAGTACAATCTTATGATACCCATCATTGTTGTATTGACTCATTGATTCCGGAGGATTCGGATTCGGAAGCGGAAATTTAGCTTTAATTAGCAAACCTGTGACTAATCATGCCGTCTTATTTGTTGTCTTTTTTACTGTAGGACTTTAAACATCTTTGTTGACATTGAAAATCATTTAACGTATTAAAACACTAAGAAATCGAAATTAAAAGTAAAGTATTACATATTTTGTTCACAAGGAAACATTTATCTTCAATACAAAGATACAATTTTACCTTTAAACATAGAGATAACATTTTACCTTTATTTGAAAACATTTACCTTCAAACACATACCGCAGGTAAGAGAATTCAGAAACTGGGGTTTATTGAGTGCAACGAGGGCCGTAATCTTGTGGTCAGTAGCGGCGTGGGGGAGGGGTAGGGCGTACTGGCATGTCCCTCCCGTACCCTCTCCATAGTAGGTGCCCTAGAGAATACAGGTAAACTATTGTATTCATTGATCCTTCTCCACTTTCTCAAGATTGTCATCATATTGGCCTACTTGCTCAATCTCCACACCCTCAAGATTGTCTATAGCTTGACATCATACTTAAATAATCCCGCATCTCACAAGGAAAGATCTAATTTTATTTAAAAAAAAACTGTAGACACACACACACATGACTTCAAACCGAACAAGCAGCTGATACACAGAAAACTCACATCGCCAGTAAAACTGCGACTGTATAGATGTAAAACTTCCTGGTTTTTGACACCTGGTTGGGCTGAAACAAAAAACAAAAACACGCCATACAATGTACTACAATGGATTAATCAACATATTCCTTTTACTCATTTTTAAAATTAATTACACATCTTTTGAATTTTATATGTATGAATGACGTTTTAGAAATATACATTTGCTGTATTATTCTAATTTTAACACAAGAAAAATAATTTAAAAAAAATGCATTTGTTGCGAATTAAGTTGGAACTCATATGATACTGTGGTCAACGTTTTTAACGTCGTTGATTTGATGTCCAAGAGAATCAACTTTCTGCTTCATGATTTCTCAACCCGATTCTAAACAATAGACAAAGAGCATATTCCAAAACATCAAACACCAACAGAAGGTAATACAATACAGGGGCACATTCTTAAAGTAAACACCAATAGAAGGTAATACGATGCATGACGAATTCCTAAAGTAAAAACCAACAGATACGATACAGGGAAAACTTCCTAAAGTAAACCAACTCACCGGCGCTAAATGTCGAGAGGATACCAAAAAGTAAACACACATAGGAAATATCTGCCATGTTCGTGGTTATTGATGGGACCCGGCTGTATACACAATGCTCATCCAACCTACAGAAGTCTGGTAGAACATCAGAACTGTCTCGATTTTTGGAAAAAAAAATTTTTTGGCCTGTTTTTTTTACAATAAACTTTGCGTGAGAGAGAAAATTATTTAAAAAAAATCCTGGCCAGTTTTTAGTAGCTGTGTACCAAACGATGACATGCTGTTTTTTTTTTCTTTGTTTGCCTTTGACTATCTACAGCTGTTTAAAAAAATAACTAGGGCTTTGTAACATGGCCTGCTGCTATTCGTTCCTATTTTCTCATGGCTTAACTAGCCGTTTACTTAACATTTAACGCTTCAACATGTTTTCCTAGCTAAAAACAGTTGTATAGGCAGAAAGATATCAGCAGCGGAAGAAAATAAAAATAAAGAAAGGTATTTTTTAAAATTATTTTTTAAACTGAAGCAAATAATCATGCAAGTATAGGGGCTTCCGCATAAAAATAAATAAATAATTGGACTTATGTTTTTATCTTAAGTGGCTATGAAAAAGGGTTATTGCTAATATTTTAAGCAGGTAATGTCAAATAGCATACTGCCATCTGCGTAAGTGGCTTTCAGGGCTGTTAAATAAGAATAATGTAAATAGCGTAAGTGTCTTACGGTTATGTCAAAAATAACTATTTTTAATATCGTAAGTGGCTTAGAGTAAAGTAAAAAAGAACTATTACTAATATCGTAAGTGTCTTACAATAATGTCAAAAATAACTATTTCTAATATAGTAAATGACTTTTTAGTAATCTCAAAAAGAAAATCGTAAAGCAGCCACAGGAAACCATTAAGGTTAGAAGATAATGATAGCATTTGAGAGTTTTAAACAACTTGTAATCATCAATACCATCTACCATCCCATGCTATCATCACTACCATGTTCATCAACCTCTCAATCAGGAGATTACACAGCCACACCTCCACACCACTGACGTCTTCATCTCACCCCCAGCTCGATTTAAGGGGTGACGTGATCGAGAGGTAGAGCATAACAAATCAAGTACAACATCGTGTCATCTGTTTCAGGGTTCGAACTTATGAGACCTCTGTAAATACACCCAGCCTTGTTAAGTATCGACTCATTGGATAATTTGACTTTCTGCTGATTACACCAACCTTTAAAGACATATATTACATAGTCAGTTGACCTTTACTCCACCTACCTTTCAATGAACTCGCTCAAACGTGAAGCAATATGCTCAACACTTATGATACAAATATCGGCACTCACTTCCATTCTTACATAACTAAAAAAATCAGCTTTACGGTTCTGTTTAAAATACTTTTATTGTTTATCTCCATATGAGGACGTCAAGTTTTGAGTTGTCACGTGACTATCACGTGATGATTCTCATGCATCGGGTAGACTTGGGTCAAATTCCACCTGAACCCCAATGACACCGTCCAGAATATTGGAATTATCTGGAAACAAAAAACAACAGAGGAGTGAGGTAAGAACACAATTTAAATCAGTCTATTCATGGAAGTATTATTTTAATCAGTCTCTTACTTAGAAGAACAAGAGCGATCACCATGATAGTCATATACAAATTGTAAGTGTATTTGAAATAGGCATCACGAGCCGACCCGCGGCGTATCATACGCCGCTATTTAGTTGTTTTATTTTCTACTTTTCAGTAATTCATAATTTGTGAATTCGACAGTACCAATGCTGCCACTGAAAATATTTGCTTTAAAATACTATCAGTTGGTCGTTAAGGACGATACCCCCCCCCCACCCTCATTTCCCCCAACCCCAACCCCTACCGTGAAAGAAGCCTCCTCTTAATTACCTCCCATAAGTTTAAAATAGTTTCAAACTAAATTATCTGCCCCTAATAGGAGTCACTAAACCCGGCTCTATAATTGTAAACATTTAGTGTGAACCACAACTCACCAGACCATGTGGGGGTGGGGGAGGTTGATTTATGCCTAGTGAAGAAGAGAGGGGACTGCAAGGCGCGCTTACAGCTTGTTTTCTAGCGTCTCCCCGAAGAGAATTATATATATAGAAGATTGTTTATTCATGGGTATACTATAAGCATTAACAAATATGTCTAATAATTTAAAGTAAAAATCTTTTTTTTTTAGCGTGAAAGCAGTTTTCACACGAAAAAGATACCAGATCTTCATAAAAAATGCATATGGAATATAATAAAAATACAGTTGCATGATAAAATAGAAATGCTAAAATTTGGGAGAAGGGTGGGCAGAAAAATATGATACAAGCCAAATTCCGGAAAGAAATGGCCATGTGTTGGTTACACACAGTGGCGTAGCTAGGTCGGCACTTAATGTTGTCACCCTCCAGAGGCGTAGCGACCCTTCCAGGGGACAAACTTTCAATTTTCGATTTGCACCCCCCCCCTCAAACTTTCGATTTGTACCCCCCTCAACCTTTCGATTTTCACCCCCCCCCCCCCCCCCCAGAACGACTTTCGATTTGCACCCCCCCTCAAATTTTTCTCTATATATTTTGCTATTTTTTGCCTTGGTGTCACCCCCTTAAATAGTGTCACCCGGTGCGCTCCGCACCCCCGCCCCCCCCTCTCTACGCCTCTGATAAGACATTCAGAAAAAAATGCCTTAGAATGGAAACTCCAGAGCTAAAGACATAGAAGACAAGCAAAGATGACGACGCAGTGTGCCTGAGGAGGCTACAAATATCAGAGCTGGGAAACGCAGTGTGTCAGGAGACGGTGGGGAGTGGAGATGAGGAAACAGAAAGAAATTATGATGATGAAGATAGTGGTGGTGATGATGGTGATGTAATGGTGATGATAATGATGATGATGATTGGGATGGTGGTGATGATGATGACGATGATAATGATGATGATGATGACGATGATGATAATGATTTGATGATGATGATGATGATGATGATCGTGATTGTGATTGTGATTGTGATTGTGATGGTGATGGTGTTGATGATGGTAATAATGATCATGATGGTGATGATGATGATGATAATGATGATGATGGTGATGATAATGATGATGATGATAATGATGATGCTGGTGATGATAATGATGATGATGATGATAATGATGATGATGATGATGATGGTGATGATGATGATGATGCAATAATGATGTTGAGATAATGATGATGATGAAACTAGAATCATACGAGTTGCTACTCAAACATGTATTTCTTTCTAAATATTTCTATGAAAGAATATTCAAAGCTCACTTATAAAGCAACACAAGGAATAAACACTCAGACAACCAGACCCATAGATACACACAAGACATCATATGCGGCATTTGTGTAGCTACGAAAAGTCAAAGACGCTTAGACACATACAGACACATACAGAAAGAAAACATACATAAATAATCACAAAACTAGGTACACAAAACCCAACATCTTTACATACGCGCACGTAGTTTACATGTAAATCTACTCACACACATGGCAACATAACGCTAACATCCCCATCAAATGCGATGTCATCTTCATTTATAAACCCAATTTACTTGACTCACCAATCCCAGGCACCGCGTCGTAGAGATCCTGTCCGTTGGCAGCCGTGAGACGAATGTCAAACTGACCATCTGGCATTGGAACACCGTCACTTAGTATCCAATAACCGTCGGCACTGTGGTTCATGGTGACCCACTGGTCAGATCTACGTACCTGGACCCCCGTTATGGGGATTCTGTTGGTTAAAAGAGTACTGGTTAGATCTAAGAAGTTGGACTCCCGTTATGGGGATTCTGATTGTTAAGAGAGCATTGGTTTGATTTGTGTATACGGTTATTTGCATGCATGATGTTTAATGTGGCAGAATGAAGATATATGCGCGTAGTAATTTATAGCAGTAGTTACCTAATATGAAAGTACTATATGTGGTCAAATTATCTGAGTTTGTTTACCTCAAAAAACATATTTAAAATCAAGAGTTGGGCATTACGTAATTGTGTATGTCAATTAGTCTATTTAATTAAAGATGTACTTAAAAGATAGACAACTCTAAAATACCTGGCGTTTCTGATTTGGAGTTTGAGATACCACGGGTTACTTCCCTGGAAGGTGTACTGTATAGTGGAGGCACCAACAGGACACTGGACAGCACGAATGGTCACATCCCACCGACCGTCTCCGTTAAGCGCCAGGTCTACATCTCCTGATACAATAGTTTTTTTTTTTTTTTTGGAAAATAATTAAACTGACTGTCTTAACATAAATCTAACGACAAAAAATCAATATGTGGACAAAAATATATTTGCTAGTTTTAAAGTAGATCTTGAGCATAGTTGCACATGTCATTCTATACAAGAATATGTTTTAAAATCTAACTTCTTTTTACAAATCTCGACGTTTTACATCTCACTGATACGGAAAAACATAATTTTGCAATCTTGTCCGTATGTCTGTGTGTCTGTGAGTGTCTGTGTGTGTGTAAACATGATAACTTAAGTACCGTGACAGCTAAGTTGATGAAATTTCATATATAAGTATTTTATCAAAATTGTAGCTCCGTTTCAACTTTTGAGCGATTTCCGATAACCGGAAGTGGTACTTTTTCTACTTTGAATTTTTCATAAGCCTATAACTTGAGTACTATTTCAGATAGATAAATGAAATTTCACATGTAAGTAAAAGAATTCTCTAATTCTCTGCCATCTATCAAATTTTGAGTAATTTCCGTTGAACGGAAGTACTAGTTTACGCTATTTCCGATTTCTCAAAAAACGCATGTAAAGTTATAAAGTACTAATAATATTCCGCACTATTATGCACATTATTTTTGGCGCTCACTTGGTGTGCAATTCTTTTTTCTATGAGATTTCATTCTATTTTAAAAAGTTTAAGTATTTAAAGTGGATTAAAAGTCATATCTATATCCCGAGTTGCCATTCCCTGTTGTTTCTTATAAGAATATTCGAGAAAGTTTAGGGGAGATCACTCCCGGTTTATTTGTTTACATTGCCCTATGTATTTTAATTCTTGTCATTAATTTTGTTCATAATTTGACATTTTTAAAAATCTACACGTTTCGACTGAGATCTCTATTTTACAGTGATGTAAAAAATAATAATATTTACACAGTGCAAGCTAATTAATATAATACTCTTTTAATGTTGTTATTTGCTATTAAATTAAAATTTCTTTCAGCATTCAAGTATTGTGCGTCCAATCGTATGTATGAATGAATGAATTGTTATATTTAGAACGTCTGTATTTGAAATTTAATTTTACTTGCAAATTTTTAAGTAAAATTAATTTCACAATCATACTTAAGGAGGCAACATCAACATCAATATCAGAATTTAAGCCCTCAAATGTTTAATCAATATTGGATCGTTAAATAAAGACAGACAAGTTAAAAAAAAATCGCATACATATTTCCTTAAAAGTAACATCAGTTTAGACAAATCAATAATGAATTAACTTACTAGCCTAGGGCATTATGTTGCGTTCGAACTTTTAATCAAGATGTAACGAATTGACCATACATCGTGAAAGTACTAGAGTAAATAATCCATAAGTGTGATAAAAAACGTAGGATGGAAATGAAGTATGTTATCTATTTTTGTGAGTGTTGATGTATCTATTAGGTTTAGGGTTAGATTTACAAATTCGGTTGGGTTCAACTAAGGTTAGGGTACATTTTCGATAGGTAAATTGTAAACCTATAGCTAACTTTATGTAAGTTATGCTAGCAAGCATTTAGCTGATGTCTATTTCAGTTTTAAAGATATTTTTAGACAACACTTCAAGAGTTCAATGTGTACATTGGGGTGTGTTGTAGCCTCTTATCCATCGTGTAATTCCCAAACTGTTCTTTCCATTCTGTTACCCTAAGTTAGGTAGTGTCTAGATATAATAGTCTACAGATCAGATGAAGTTGAGTTCACCTATTTCTTTGACCACGTCATCTGATGTACAATCAACGTTCTGTACGGTGGCATTTACTCTCCCCAAATAGAGTTGGGTATTTTTTAGAGCTGAGTGAACTCAATCACGTCCTGTCAACACATTGTTTTAATAAGGAAACTTAACGATGCTGATTGTATCTGCTCTGTAGCGACGTCAGATGGTGTTGGTTTTGTGTTAGGGGTAGAGGACAATACCCTAATACATTTCTAGAGTATCTAAACTAGACGCAAATGAACGCACCTTCTTTGCATTCTGGACACAGGTCTTTGACAAATACAATAAAGCTGCCTGTGATAGGGCTGTTGCCCAAACCATTCCCACTTCCTGTTACCTGCATGGGCGATGACGTGCACAGGTTAAACAATAAGAGAGAGTCGGGGGAAAAATACTTTAAATTTAAAAAAAAAATGAAAAAAAATAAAAATAAAAAAAGAACACATTTTAAAATCAATAAAGAATTTTTAAAAAAATAAATTAAGATAAAATTTAAAATAATACATTTTAAAATGAATAAGGAAAAAAAATCTAAAACAAATTAAATATAAATATAAAAATAATACATTTAAAAATCAATAAGGAAAAAAAAAACAGTTTCCTTTCAGCTTATAATAAGTGGAAAATGAAGATATTTGACATCACTTTATATACGAATCCCATAATAATATAAAAAAAGAAATATTTTATATATCAGCCCATGTAATATACAAAGCTCTGCACTAAGTATACAGGTGACTGAAGTATTATATTGAACTTACACGTAGACACATACCACAGGTAAGAGAGTCTAGAAACTGGGGTCTGTTGAGGGCAACTAGCGCCCCTATTTTGGGGTCAGTTGCGGCAGGAGGGAGTGGGGTGGAGTACTGGCACGTCCCTCCCGTACCCTCACCGTAGTAGGTACCCTAGGAAAATACAAAATAAATTAAAAAAATATTTGTTTAAAATATGTCGTAATGTATGAGTAGTTATAATGAAGTAAATTTTGTTCAAATTAATCAGTGATATTTTTATTGAACATGATAAAGTACCCTAAAAAGTATCAAAACCCATTATTCATATATTAAGCATAGATCTTAAAAATTAACTTCTGACTTAGGTACAGATCTAATAGATACGATATACAGGGTTTCTTTCAGGCGGATATTTGAAACGTCAGGGGATGAAGACGACGGGAAAGGGGGACACTGGTTAAGATGTAGGCCTATATTCTATGTGTATTTTTCGTATCTCGTCCTATTGTCCGACTCAGGCGGAAGGTGGGAGGGGTGGGGGTGGGGTTTAAGGGGTGGGGGGGGTTAAGGGGGGGGTTAAGGGGGGGGGGGTTAAGGGGGGGGTTAAGGGGGGGGGGGGTTTAAGGGGGGGTGTAGGAGAGATGCTTGAAAAAAAAAACACTGATCATATCTTTATTCATTACTTTTCCTTGATGCTAGAATCCTATTAATATAAATTATGTTACGTTCATTTTGAATAAAACGTATATAACGAGAAAAAAAAAACAACATTTCTCCTGGCGTATCGAAGTATAGGACACTTCCAACCTGGGTACACAATAGGTAACTATAATGAGGTAGTTGGCTAGAAAGCACCTCTATACGCTGTAGGGACTAAAGAATATCTTACACAATAGATAGCTACATATATATGATGTATGGACTATAGAATGTCAGACACAATAGGTAGCTACATCTATATGATGTAGGGACTAAAGAATGTCAGAATAGGTAGCTACACTGACACCGGTCCAAAGTAATGGAGGGACATAGGGAGCCTATGATACTTATCAGGGAACATACATGTTCCTACTTACATCGCCACTAAAGTCGTTGTTGAATATGTTGAGAACATCCCAATTGGTTTCCCCAGCGTCAGCTACGAATAAGAAGAATAATATCGGTAGAAATACAAAATCCTTAGATATAACATTTAGGCCTAATTAATTATAACAAACATCTTTAAATTAACTTAAACACAAAAATATCTATAAAAACAGCAATGAAAATGCTAAAACAATGATAGATTATCAGCGATGATCATTATATAACTGAGTAAAATGCAATTACAATACAAAGATACTATTACTAATAATTAATGTTGCTATGGTATGGCTTATATAAATAAACTTAGGTTCTTCTTTTCTTCTTCGTTCATAATTTTTAGTGTTGGAAGGGGAGCCTCATCTGCCAGAGGGTTTGAACTTAGGTGTTTTTTTTTAATCTAACAACCATGAGCTTTGCCGACTCGACCACGCCTCCAACACAATATACGTGTCAACTGGTTATGCGCCATTGTGGCCACTGACTCCGATTTCAGCCAGATTTTTGGATTTGCTTCCATAGCCTTTGTCCAACCAAGAACAAACTACAAGGCAGCAGTTGTTTGATTTTGGAGTTGTCTCTCCTAGAGGAGGCTAACTAGCCTCGAGACTTTTCGGTTTAGCAACCATGAGCTTAACTGACTCGACCACGCCGATCCCTCAAACTTAGGTTAACGTGAATGACTTCGGACTTGACATATTTAAGTATTGATGTAATTATTTATAATTACTTATAACAACATACGTTTTGTCAATAAACTACATTAAACTATAGTCATACTAAAATACTCAGATCAGGTAACCTTAGGTAGCAGGCACTACACAATTAAAGTAAACCAACTCACCTGTATAACATGTTAAGATACAAATAAGAAAACTCAAGTACACAGTGTTTGCCATAGCAGATATCTGTTACACGCTAGGATCTCTTTGCTAATTCAAGATGTCTTGTTCCGATATTTATAGGCCAGCTAAACGCCACTCTATTCGATTTTAACAAATTAAACTAACGTGACCTGTACATTGACAAAAATAAAGCTAGAAAAACAAACAAATTTGGTTCTGGTATAGTTATTTTTAACCTTTTTTTCCTTGTTGAGCTCACACGTCTGGTATAAGGTGAGTAACTAATCAGTCGGTAATATTTTCTTCATTCACTCTATGAGTAAACAACAGAACGTAAATAACATAGTTGTACATTATTGTAGAATAGGCCTACTGTCTTAAGGTAAATCGCGTAAAATACGTCAAATAGAGCTATAGTAATTATACTAAATGGCTTGCCGTTTTTAGTGTCTTATGGTACTGTTAAATATGATTTTATAATTTTAGGGGAGCAGCCACAAGACAAAATTAGGGATAGAAGAGAATGTTAGCATCACTATTATCTTAAACTACCATGATCATTACTTTTTCAAACCATGTTCATTCAATTTCCACTAACCTAGGTTAACATCATCACTATCATTTTCACTACCCTTTGATACCATCATCACTACCATCATCACTACAATTTTCACTATCCCCTGATACCCTCATCACTACCATCATCAATACACTCTGATACCATCATCACCACCCACTTCACACCGTCATTTCTACAGATCACCCAGCATATTTCTATCCCCCCCCCCTCTTTCGTGTTCCCAAAAATTTCACCACGAGCTATGGTAAAGAGGGATAGAGCAGCAACAAAGACGTCGTGTGAAACCATACACTTTGTTAAGTATTTGTGTATAGGGCAACTAGAAAAAATGTTGATCACACAATCCCTTGAAAGTCAAGAGCCTGTTTAGCTCTACTTTACCCGCCTTTCACGAGCATGAAGGAATACATTTATTTCTCAACCTAATACTTAATATGCAGAAATTACAACCATCAATTTTACTTCAACACTTTCAACCATAAACTAACAAGAGATGACGCTTGACATATCTATTTAAATATCATTTATTTTCCTCTCATAATTCAATAGTTTAGTTCTTTGATCTCTAGGCATTGGGCAGACTTGGGTCAAATGCCACCTGAACCCTTCGGACACCGTCCAGAATGTTGGAATTATCTGGAAAAACCAAAGTAAAGAGAAAAGTGAGGTATAAAAATAATTGTAATCAGTCAATTAGCCTAACAAGGGCAAAGGCAATCGCCTTGATAAACGTCAACGAACTGTAGTATGAACAGCTTATATAGGTCTCAACCTTTGAATACAGGTATACCAGAAGCGAATTCGTTTATAAACAGTTAGATTCTATTTGTTTATAACTATGTCTAAGCGACAAAGTTACAAGCTAATTAAAAAAGTGAAATACATACACGGCCTTACCAACTTAAACACTCAAAGACAAAAGGGTCCATAGATACACGCCTACACGAAAGCGCACACACACAGACACACATACACAACAACAACAACGATCACAGATCAGCGTTAACACAAAATCCACAAACTCTTCGGCACAGAGAGAAACATACGTGGATACAAAAAAAAACTACACTTAAAACACAAGCACTACAGACATCAACATTCACGTCAAGTGTAACAAAATCTTCATTTGTCTAAACTAAATCCAACTCACCAATTCTTGGCACCGCGTCATAGAGATCCTGGCCGTTGGCAGCCGTGAGCCGAATGTCAAACTGACCATCCGGCATTTGTCGTCCATCACTTAGTATCCAATAACCGTCGGCGCTGTGGGTCATGGTGACCCACTGGTTGGATCTACGTACCTGGACTCCCGTTATGGGGATTCTGGTTAAGACAGCATTGGTTAGATGTACATACAACTAGTACAAATTTATCTATGTGTAGTGAATGATGTTGAAGAGTGCAGGGATGTGTGCAGAGAACTTATACTAACGTGGACTATAATTAAAAGCCAGCAAAGTTTAAAGTTTTTTTTTAATAATTAATTAGCTTCAGGAGCGTCGATTCATTCATGAAAGACTTGAAATGTTACCAACACTATTGTTTTCCTATCAGATTAGCCTTTTGATCAATTGGCTGATATTACAATACTATCGGTGATTAATTTATGTGAGCATTTGTAAATTAAAAAAAAAAGAATTGAGAAAAATGTTACATGCTATATCACTGTATTATATAATTTGTGCTATATAAAGATCTACATAAAAGATAAATAGCTCCGAAATACCTGGCGTTTCTGATTTGGAGTTTAAGATACCACGGGTTACTTCCCTGGAAGGTGTACTGTATTGTGGAGGCACCAACAGGACACTGGACGGCCTGAATGGTCACATCCCACCGACCGTCTCCATTAAGTGCCAGGTCTACATCTCCTGATACAATAATTCATAATTTAATAATAATTAACCCGATTAGTGAGGTACTACTTCATCAATATAAGTAATACATTTTTGACCAGAGATACCACGATGGCTTTCGATCTAGCTTGTTTGATGTTCTTCCGTTCACCCAGATATTCTTTCATTGCTATAAAACGCTTTAAAAATTAAAACGACTAGATTTTTCTTCCTGTGATGTAGATGTATTTGTACGGCCTGTAAATTAGTCATATTTCATTGTAGATGTTCTTCCATTGGTGTAGCTTAGCCAACACGAATACCAAAATCGTATTTGTAATGAAATATTTTATTTACGCAAAAAAAATAATTAAAAATTAAGAAATATATAAATAAATAAAAAGTAGCATCTCGGTTTTTAAAAATATATGTAAGCACCTTAAGATTGGTCGGACAAAGATCGGAAGCTACATACATTTTGGGGGACCACTCACCTGTTTATTTGTAGTTTTACATAAAGCCAATACGATGCTAGTGGCATAAAGTATTCTTTCAAGTTTTTATAGGGTAGAGGAAGTAGAGTTTACCTGTTTCTGAGGTCGCGGTGTGTGATTGTTGTATGTGGCCAATGAAGTGGGAAAGTGACCGGCACAGTATTTAATGAGAGGTCTAGAGCTAATGTCAGTCAGTGCGGGGGTTTAGGGATTGACTCGATATTAGAGGAGAAGTTTGGAGTTAAAGTTATCTCTTTTTTTTTCTTTTAAAACGTGTTCGTAAAACATAGACTTAGTAGTTACATTGTGTAAGCTATAAAGAAAAGCCATGAACACATTACCTGAAAAATAACACTTGTCTCGATAAATCGATAGTTAATTAACGTTTAAACCAGAGTAAATTAAGCGGGGAACAAATGGTCAATAAACTGTTAAGAATTGCAAATTATTTGTGTAACTGCTATGCTGAGTTAAATAAAAATACGTTTAAAAATTTTGAAATCGGGTAGCTTTTACACCTGAAGGTCTACATTGCAGATGAAGTAGAGTTCATTCCTTTCTGCGACAACGACATGTTAAGTTATAGTGTGGTCAGCGCTCTGCACGACAGCCTTTACTTTTCCCAAATTAGAGTTAGGTATCTCTTGAGCTGAGTAAACTCACTCACGTCCATATTAATAGGTTTTTAATATCGTAAAAATAGTGCTGTAGACGGTTCCTTGTCTGCTCTTTCGAATTCAAACTGCATTAAAGGGTGTTGAGGTTATATCAATATTTTAAAACAAAATTAGATTTCCAAATGTAATGCATACGTAAATGGCTGTACCTTCTTTACATTCTGGGCACAGGTCTTTGACAAAGACAATGAAGCTCCCTGTAATCGGATTGGCGCCTTTGCCCTTACCACTCCCAGTTACCTATGTAAACAATTAGGTGCAAAAGTTAAAGACGAACAACAACCTGATATTCAGTCGAAACACACAAAATAAATATTTTAAATAAACAAAATAATTAAAATCAAATATACACAAGTATTTTTTTAAAACTGTGGAAACAAAAATAAAAAAAAGCGTCCGAATTACCTTAGTTTTATACATAATAAACCGAAATAATAATTATACAATAAATTGTGGTACATTGTCAAACCTACCTTTAAACACATACCGCAGGTAAGAGAGTTGAGAAACTGGGGTCTGTTGATTGCAACAAGGGCCTTAATCTTAGGGTCAGTAGCGGCCCGAGGGAGTGGGGTGGAGTACTGGCACGTCCCTCCAGTACCCTGACCGTAGTAGGTGCCCTAGGAAAATAAAACAGCAGAAAACATTTGTTAAAATAGTGGTAATTTATGAGTCGTTAAAATAGTGGTAATTTATAACTCTTTAAAATTGTTGTACTTTATAAGTCAGTTAAGTCATTTAATAGTAGTCAGTTTCCCATCAGAGCCTGGGGAACTTCATAAATAGGAGTAGCTTCAATGAGGCGCCTGACCAGACCCTACCCCCCCCCCCCTCCCCACCGTACACACACACACTGTAGCGACTAGGGAACTTAATACTCAGTATACATAGCTAAAGCAACATTTTACGACAGAGTTCCTGGTCAATAATCACAAACACACATACATACACTACGTAGGGTCTATGGAACCTGAGATATCTGGTACCAGAGTTTCTACTTACATCCCCTTTGTAGTTCTTGTTGAATAAGTTGAGTACATCCTGATTTCTTTGTCCTGCATGCGCTTCAAGTAGAAAACATATTTCTTCATAAATAAATTACCTTAAACATAACATACATTTTTTAAAAAATATTTAAGAACTAAAAAAATCTTAAACTTTCTCTATAAAGGTAAGAACTGATGTTAAAAAAATGAAAGACGCAAATAACAAATAATTTTAAAAATGTTACCTACTTCAATCAAGGTAAATACAATATATTTCTCTATTGACTTCGTATAAAGATCGTATAATCTGAGATAATATTCGCTTAAAATAAACCAACTCACCGTTGTAAAATGTCATCAAAACACCAATAAGTAAACTCAAGTAGTGACCGTTTGCCATGGCAGTGATATCTAGCAGGCAATTAGCGCTTTTCTAACTCAAACTGTCTTAGGCCTCCACTTTATAGGCCAGCATAACGCCCATTTAATAGATTTTAACACAGGAAAACAACGTGACTAACTCATTGACAAACAACAACACAAATAGAAAATAAATAGGCCAAAAGGATCTGGTTGAGTTATTTTAAACCGTTTTTTTGTTTGAGTTTGCACATACGGTGTAAGGTGAGTAATTAATCATTAAATTAATTCTATGAGTAAACAACAGATGGCTAATTAAGGATGTCCGTGCTCAATTCTTTTTTCGTTTTGTTCGGGCGTTCAGTTAAAAAAATAGCTACTTAACGAGACAGACATAAAGTTATTTACATGTATATCTCGTAGCAGTAACTTTTATAGTTTTCTTTATTCATTGACAACACTAATACAAAAGTGAACAGCTGAATTAATCAGTCATAATTAATTGCTCATCAATCATTGATTCTTATGTTACATGCAGCACGTAACGAAAGTTTTACACAGACAATAATCTGTTTCTAAATAGAGTTTTATATGCATACATTCTTCATTAACATTGTTAACTAAAGTACATCAAGGGGGGAAATGTCCATTCATCGGTTTGTGTTAATTTACTTTGCGTTTTTTAAATTGCGAGTCCTATTTCAAACGATAGCATCTAGATCTATGTGTTGTTTTTAGACATTTTTTACTCCGGGGTTGGGGTTGACACAAAGTAAATAGCCTATTTTCTGTATACGTTATTCGCTTACATTTTGTTTTTCTATTTCTTAGGGGCAGGCGATGGATGTGGTGCGGTGTTATGGTCCCCAAACCCCCCCCCCCCCCCCACACCCCTTTTCCGTGGGAGATGCCTGAAAGAAATTCAGTCAGCATCGGAGTAAGCTATATTGTTCTTATGTAGTTGTTATGTGTGTGCAAGCAATAGTTATAACAGAACCTGCTTCAAAGTCTTTTCTTTTGACATTTATTTTAATACAAGATAAAACAAATACAAATGAAATAGCTTTTAAAAGAAAACAAAGCACTGAATGACTTAGTAAGTAAGTGGAAAATTTTGTAAGATGGATGGCGTAGCCTGTTTAAAAAGACGTCATACGTCAAGTGAAAATAAACTATTTAGTACACAAACTTGTAGGTCGATATCCTGTTTTAAGTGACACCTGGGCCACTTAAAGGCAAGTAAACAAGTAGTTCCGTTATTTTCATAAATTAACATTTTATAAATGTATTGCAAGTAGTTATAGTGTGGAACTCAACCTATACAATAAAGAGATATTGAGATTACTTTAGTGGGGCCCTTTAATCTGATAAGTTTCAGAGTTCACAATTATCTACCGCCATTTGAAAAATAAAGTGCCCACAAAATAGAAGGAAAATATAATATTAATATATGTGTGTATATTGTTATTTAACGTTTACTGGTTCTAGATTTATACTTTGAATAGTAATAAGTAATTTAAAAATACTCTTTAAAAATCCGATGCTGTTGAATAAGCATCAAGAAGCATGTCAGTCATTTTTTTAGTCAAATTAAAAATAAAAGAAAAAGCGTAGCAACTCAGAACGTCGTATTTCACTTGATATTTTGAATAGATTCCCCTGAAATAATATTATTATGATCTCACTTGTTGCCAGAATGGATTACAACGGCTAACTGTATTGAAGTATGATATTTTCAGTTAAACATTAAGTTATTTGTTGTGCATGGAATTTATATAAATTATATTGTGTCATTTGTTTTTTTTCATTAATTTTTATTCTTCCGGGCTAAGTTTAAATTTACTACACAATATTTTGTAAATTGATTAGATCTATAGATCTAACAAAACATCTGGAAATGTAAACAACGTCGTAACAACAAACAGCAAGTTGTACAGTTTATTTAAGTTTACTTCGTCTAGATCTAGATTTAGATCTAGATCTAGATCTAGATCTACTTAGATCTAGTTACGACCCATACACCATACTCTACTATTCTAGCCTACCTAAAGACTAAAGTTAGTTAGATCTAGATCTAGATCTAGTATTTTATGCGAAAAGTATTTAAAACTAAGAATTTAATTCTGAAGTTTTTTTAATATGAGTAGAGTTAAAATTTCACAATGTGTCATCATCATCATCAGAGTTTCTTCCAGGCATCTCTTCGGGGGGGCGAAGCCCCCCCGAAAATTTTTTACCGCCCCCCCGAACGAAATGAAATTTATATAATTTATATAGAAAATATATACTTTTAACAGTGTCCGCCCCCCCGAAGAAAGTTTACCGCCCCCCCGAAGATTGCAAGTGCCCCCCCGGAGAAAAAAGTCTGGAAGAAACACTGATCATCATGACATGTGTCATGTTATGATTATGTCATGTACCATATCAGCCGATCAGACTTTCAGTCTGCATATTGACCTATATAGAACAGCACCCCTCACTTTAATTTGACTTGATTAGTTCTAATTATCCTTCATCAAATTTTGATTTTACTTTCATATTTCTATTGCCCACACTCTCTAGCACTAATGTGCAAAGTTTTATAATTATATCTCGAATAGCAGCAGTGGTATGCAAGTCTAAAGCCAATCACACAATTAAATCTGATGTTACAGTGATATATAACAGGTTTAATACATAACTTTAAAAATTCATATAAAAAAAACTATTAGGCCTAGAATGATAAATTTGGTATTTTTATCAATTATTATTATAGGATTAATCTGTGTACATTTTATCATTCTATGGTAATTAGGAAAAATATCCCTACATTCCTAACCTAAAGTTAGTTAGATCTAGATCTAGATCTAGTATTTTATGCGAAAAGTATTTAAAACTAAGAATTTAATTCTGAAGTTTTTTTAATATGAGTAGAGTTAAAATTTCACAATGTGTCATCATCATCATCAGAGTTTCTTCCAGGCATCTCTTCGGGGGGGCGAAGCCCCCCCGAAAATTTTTTACCGCCCCCCCGAACGAAATGAAATTTATATAATTTATATAGAAAATATATACTTTTAACAGTGTCCGCCCCCCCGAAGAAAGTTTACCGCCCCCCCGAAGATTGCAAGTGCCCCCCCGGAGAAAAAAGTCTGGAAGAAACACTGATCATCATGACATGTGTCATGTTATGATTATGTCATGTACCATATCAGCCGATCAGACTTTCAGTCTGCATATTGACCTATATAGAACAGCACCCCTCACTTTAATTTGACTTGATTAGTTCTAATTATCCTTCATCAAATTTTGATTTTACTTTCATATTTCTATTGCCCACACTCTCTAGCACTAATGTGCAAAGTTTTATAATTATATCTCGAATAGCAGCAGTGGTATGCAAGTCTAAAGCCAATCACACAATTAAATCTGATGTTACAGTGATATATAACAGGTTTAATACATAACTTTAAAAATTCATATAAAAAAAACTATTAGGCCTAGAATGATAAATTTGGTATTTTTATCAATTATTATTATAGGATTAATCTGTGTACATTTTATCATTCTATGGTAATTAGGAAAAATATCCCTACATTCCTAACCTAAAGTTAGTTAGATCTAGATCTAGATCTAGTATTTTATGCGAAAAGTATTTAAAACTAAGAATTTAATTCTGAAGTTTTTTTAACATGAGTAGAGTTAAAATTTCACAATGTGTCATCATCATCATGACATGTGTCATGTTATGATTATGTCATGTACCATATCAGCCGATCAACATATCATATGACATATTTATCAATCATGAATCAATCATTCTCTCACTCATCTCACTGTCAGTGAAATCAATGACTCAGCCAGTACTTTTCACAGTTACACTCACTAACACTATATTAGTAACAGTACACAAGTGTTAGTTTGTTGTTAAATTCAAAATTGACTGTCACTGTGTACTGTAGTTAGTATGTGTGTGTAGTTTCTGTCTGTAGTCAGTGTAGTGAGTAGTGGGTGTCACTTGACTCTTGTCAGTGTTAACTACTGTTAACTGGTGTGTGTACTAATCATGTTTGTTAAGTAAGTCGTCAGTGTCTCCTCTGCTCTAACTAATCACTAACTAAGGTCTACGTTTAGTGTTAGATCTTGCTCCTAGAGAACTACTTTTCAAAATACAGATAGAGATCTATGCCTGAGATTTGTTGGAGGCTAGAAGGCTGCCTAACAAAATTTTAAATGAGAGTAATTTTTTTTTTTTATTTCACCAACATCCATTTATTTTATTCTTTGATTGCCATTGCTGAAGAAAAATTGATAAACTCAGTAATGTTACCAGGTTCCACAAGCTTGTTTTTAGTTTAGAATTTGGTGTTGATTAGTTTTTACCTCAATCTTTTAATATTTGATTTTATAGCCCCTTTAATATAACCATCCAATACCACTTTAATATATTTTTATTTGTGTACATATTTTTCTGCTGGTTGTCGAAGCAGTGTTTGTTTCAGTGAGGGGTATGGGGTAGACATAAATATCTGGGGGCAGACATTGATTAAACTAAATATTTCCTATATAAATAATACATTTTTTAATTTTGTTCCTAGGGAAGTGGACATGTTTGGGGGTGGGAGGTGGGCACTACCCCTAAAAGACACCTGAAAGAATCTTTAAAATTCATTTATGATTTTAAAATTTTCACTCTTTAAGTTTGCAGTTTAAGATTTATGTTTGCATTTCCTTAAGGAAATTTACCTTCTTTCACAGGTGTTGAAATAGTTTGAACAAGTTGGGCCTACTCTTGGTCAAGTGATTTAAAAAATGGAAGGAATTAATATTGAAAAACTGCTGCAACAAGCTATACACCCAGAATCAGTAGTGTCAACTTACTGTTATCAAATTATAAATATTATCAGGAAACAACAAGTTACAAACAACCGAAATAAACAGTCGTTGCTGTTTTATTTAGCAAGTTACAGAGGAATTTATGATGTAATTGAAGCTGCAGACTTGTCTGAGGAAGTACTGTTGAAAGTAGAGAAAATGGTTGGCAAGTTGGAAAGCAAGTTG